CCGCAGGGAAACCGGCGCCGCACCGCACCGCGAGGGCTGCGGTCCTTCTGCGGAGGCTTATCGAGCACCTGCCACGCACCTGCTCCTGCGTGCTGGCCCCGGGCAGTGCGCGTCAGCGTTTCCGAGGCCCTGCGGCCCGCGCGGCTCCGTAAACGTGCGTTGTGACCCGCGGGGACCGTCACCCCCCGGGACACTTCACGTCATCTTCAGGTCGGGCGCGGGTTTTGCGTCTCGTCAACCAGGGTCCGTGAGGGAAGCTCCTTCTGAACCGCCGTGTCCGAGACGGGGCCCTGACCTCCTGTGCGGTGTCCGTCACGGACACGTGGGCCAAGACGGTGAGCAGAACCCCCGCGGAGCGAGGAGCCCGGTGTGGGCGAGCCCCTCTTGCGTGCTGTGTTTCCCCCCGCCGATTCTCCACCCCTCCCTTCCGAAGCAGCAGCCGCCCGTCACCAGCGCCCACCCGGCACCCAACTTCGCGTCTGCAGATTTCCTTATCCTGCCGCGTCTCCCCCCAGACCATGCTGTCCCCCCGCCCCAGTTCCCGGCATGCAGTGCTGCCGGCAGGTGCGCATGGCCCCCGCGGACAGACTGGACGGTCCCTGCCCATGACGCCAGAGGCCCGAGTCCAAACCAGGACGCCTGCCTCCCTGGCGGGTGCAAGCGGTCCCCAGGGCCCGCTGGGAGCACAGGGCAGCTCAGTGGCTCAGTTGGTGTGTTTTCCTCGGGTTAGAAACGGCGTCTCCGCCGTGTTACCAAGGCGTCCTGCGGCCTCCGCGCGGTGGGCGTGTGGCCTTTACTCTGTGGGGGAAGAGGGGGCTTCCCTGGGCGTCTGGGGTCTGCGAACATCGCGCCGCGTCGGGGCCGTCACCTGCCTGGTCCGAGCCCAGGGTTCCACACCGGTCGACGGACGTGACGACACCCGGGAGAAGGGGGTGCGTGCTCCCGCGGGGCCCCCCCCCGTGCGGGGCCTGGCACACGGCGGCGTTGGCTCAGCAAGAGCGAACGCTCCTCCTCCTCCTCTCGGGCCTCCCAGCGCGTCCCAGCGGGTCCGGCCTGACGGCAGCGTCCACCGGGCCCGAACCGGAGCCTGTCGGGGTGGGGAGGGTGTGCGGCCTGCGTTCCCGGTCCCCCCACACTGACACTCAGGGCCTGCTGTCCAGGGGCGGGGCGGGGCGCACGCCCCCAGCCTGGCTACACGGTCTGCTGGCAGCGCACGGCCGTGACCTCCGGGCGGTCCCACCCCCCGTGGAGAGGCTGATTCTGGAAGCCTCGGAAGGACTCACAGGAGAACCCTTCTGCGGCAGAGCCGGCCATCGGGTCCTGGGGCCTGGGCTCCGGGCCGGGGTCCGAGTTCTCCCCCGGGCTCCGCCCCCAGGACGTGGGACGCCTCTGGAGTCTTCATCCGCGTCCCAGTCGGGTGAGGGGACCACATGAGAGACACACGGGCGTCCTGGCACCTGGGGACGGGCAGGGTGCTTCTCCTGGAGTGGGGACAGGCTGGCTGCGGTGGGCCCTGCCCAGAGGCCGTCCCTCCCATGGGGACAGCGCGTGGGGGCAGGGAGAAGGGGCGGAGGGACCCGGGCTGGACTCTGCCGGTGGGCAGCTGGCCCGCACGCACTGCAGCCGAGGTGCACGGTGATGGTCTGGGAGGCAGCGGGTGGCTGCCCTCTGCCCCTTGCCCCTTTCTGCACCCTGGTGAGGGCGTCAGGGAATGTGGCTCAAGGGTGACTCTTGGTGACCTTGAGAATGTCCCCGTGCTTCCCAGGCCCGAGTTTCACTACCTGAAATCGAGGCTCACACCCATCCCCACCCTTCCTCCAAGGGCCGTGCTGTCCCCTCCCGGGCCAGCGGCTCCAGCACCGGACAGGGCCCCCCTTCTGCCCCCCGTCCCCTGCCCAGCGGGGACACGGAGAGCCAGCCCTTCCCGGCTGCCTGCCTCGGGCCCGGCCCCGTCCTCCCACTGTCCCTCTGCCTGACGTGTTCTTGCCACCTGCCGCCCCCACACGGCTCAGCCGTGCCCTTGCCGACCCTGCCTGCGGGACCTGCCCGTTCCTGGCGGGGTCCTGGCGGGGTCCTGGTGGGGTCCTGGCAGGGTCCTGACGGGGTCCTGGCGGGGTCCTGGTGGGGTCCTGACCGGGTCCTGGCGGGGCGCGGCAGCCTGGCTGTGGCAGCCCGTCCACCGTCTCTCCTCGTGGCCCTATCGGGTCTGCCCCACGGGCGTCCACACTCGGTTGTCAGGCGCGTCCGTGGGATGGGCGCCACGTCTCCTCGGAGATGTGACCCCTTTCCGGTCGCACACGCCCCTCTCTGCCCCCGGCGGCCCCCCTCGCCTGAGCTCTGCTCCGTCTGAGGTCGGCCCCCTGCTTCCTGTGCTGAGAGCCGGCCAGCGCGGCGTCTCTCCGACCCTCGGCCCTTACAATCGGCGCGTGTCCGGTACTTACGGAGGCTTCCCGGCGGGCCTCGGAGAGCTGGCCTAGCCCGGGCCGCGCCGACGGCTGTGTCCGCAGCGGCGTCCACAGCCAGTCCCGGGGCGGCCGGGGTCGTACCGACCACGTGTGCTCCTGCGTTGTTCCCTGCTCTGGCCCGTCGTCCTTTCCTTTCCTCCTCCTCCTCCTCCCTCCCTCCCTCCCTCCTTCTCGTCCCCCACTCTTTCCGCCCCTCCAGTGTAACTGTTCCGGCCGACAGCGTTTCCGCTCCTTCTCCTGCCTGCCTCCGTCTCCCGAGGTTCAGGTTCGGCGGAGACGCCCTCGGGCCGGGGCGGCCTGGCTGGCCTGCCTCGCCCACCCCACAGCCCCTTCTGCTCCGGTCAGCAGCGCCCCGAGGACAGCTCGGCCCGTCTCCCGCAGGACGAGCCCCGAGAGGGCCCGAGGGCCTGGACACCGGGAGCGTGCAGGGGGGGCCAGGGGTCCGCGTCTGCGCCCTGTGGCTGCCCACCTTCGTCCAGGGAGCTCGCCCAGGCCCTGAGCAGGTGGGGAGGTGGGGGAGGGGTCTTCAGATGGAAGAGCCGTGGCCAGAGGTCCAGGTCCTCGCCTCGGAAGGGGAAGGACAGACCCCGGGGCAGGGCCCCGGGCCGCAAGGCCGCCCCTCCGATGCCCGCTGTGTCCCAGCTGCAGGGCCCTGGCCGCCGTGCTTGCTGCCGCGGTGCGGGGGTGACTGCGGCGTGACGTGCGCCCGCACAGTCCAGCGGGGGTGGTGGCACCCGGCGGCCACAGGGGGGCCTGGCACAGGCCGGCAGGGGGGTGCGGGAGCGCAGGGCCCTGGGCTGCAGGGGCCGCGCAAGCGGGTCGGAGCTCAGCCTGGCCTCGTGGCGCGTGCAGAAGCCAGCGCGGCGAGGGGGCTTCTGGGGCAGCGGGCTGTGGTGTGCGGCGAGGGCGTCGGGCCGGCCGGGGGGTCGGGAGGAGGCTGGACGGCTAGCTCGGGCAGGGGGGTCAGGACCCGACCGGCCCGGACGTCCCGCTGGGGCCTGAGGACCTCCACCCCGGACCGGGCGTGCGGCCCGCGGGAGCCCCGAGGACGACCCCGGGCTCACAGACAAGCCTGCTTCCTCCGGGTGCCCGTGGACGGACGGACGTCCACAGACAGTTGTTTCCCGTGGGGGGGACGGTGGAGTCCGTTTGTCACGGGAATCGGGAGGGTTCCGGGGCGGGGGGGGGCGGGGCGTGGGTCCGGAAGCCCGAGGGACGGCGGCCGGGAGGGAGCCGCACAGGTGCGGGAGCGGCAGGCTCCGGGGGCGACGCGGCCCGGGGGCCCAGCGGGCAGGCCTGCGGGCATCCCGGGAGCCCGCCCCCCGCCCCGGCGCCCCCGAGAGTGGCGAGCAGCAGCGGGGAGCGGGCCGGGGCGCGGGAGCCGGAGGCAGGGGCCGCTCCGGAAGGGGGAGCAGAAGCTCCGGGACAGTTCACACGCTCCGCGCGCCCCGACGCCACGTGGGAAAGCAGAAGTGAAATCTGTCAGCTGCACCGAGACCCAGGCCGTCCCTTCAGGGGACGGCTCGGGCACCCACCAGCCCTCGTTATGCAAATCTGCGGCCGGCCCCCGTTGCGCGTGGGGACCGTGGTGGCCCATCTGCTTCCGTCCTGCCTGCTCTCTGGGTGGCCGCAGCCCATCTGCCGGCCGGGCAGGGCCCGCTGCCCGGGAGGACGGTCCCAGGGGACGGGTTCCCAGAGCAGGGAGGGGACGGGCAGGCAGCCTGCTCCCCCGGGGCACCCACTGGCCCCGGCCGAGGGCGGCCGCGGGGGGCAGAGCCCAGGGACGCCGCCCTGTTCCTGTCCTCGGCCCCAAAGTGGAAAAGGCGAGGGGACTTCACAGTGAGGTTTCCCCTTCCTCTCCAGGAAGCTGGCATTTCTGAAGCCCCAGGTCCCAGCTGAGGCCGGGCCCCTGCTGCAGCGGGTTCCTCATTTCCTCCGTCCCCTCGACGTCTCCCCCAGCCCCCCAGGGCCGCCGCCTCCAGGGGTCTCGGGAAAGCTTCACGCGTGTCACGTGGGCTGTGTGTTGTCCCCCGACACCTTGCTCACCCCCTCCCCCCATTTACTGGGTCCGAGCCCCCGACGCCTGGCTACGCCTCCGCAAGGGATGGAGGGTGCGCACCACGGCATGCTGGCGGCCTCACACCTGTGCGGCAGCACGGAGACCACCGCCCCCCCGCAGCCCGGCCCTGCCCGCCGTGTGTGCTTGCATGTGAGGACCCCGGACGGGTGCCCGTCCTCCGTGCCGCTGGCCGCGGGTGCGCCGGCCGGCACCACGGTGCGGGCTGTGCAGAGCCGGGAGATGGCTCATCATCCAGCAACCCCCCCCCCGCCCCCTCGCTGGTGCACGCCCGGAGCTGTGGACTCGGGCGCCCGCTGTGCCGGAAGCTTCCCACAACCGTGACTGCTGGGCCGGCCCCCGGTTGGGGCGGAGTCCGCGGGGGCCACGGCTGCGCTCCGCGGCACTCTCTCCCTCAGACCCGGCTCGCGGGAGGGGTGGGGCCGCTGCCGCAAACGCCAGTACTCGAGAGGCGGGTGCTGATGGAAAGGACGTGGTTTATTTTCAGGGTGGCGGCTTCCCGGAGCTGGGGGACTCCTGTCGCAAAGCCCACCTCCACGCCTGGCTACGGTAGACCTTTCTGTAAGGGAGGGGAGGGAACAGAACACAGAGATGGGGAGGGGGGTAAAAAGTTCTCTACTTGCAGAGGAGCACAGTCCGTTCCGGTAAGGCAAGTGACGGCGCGGGGCGCGTCGTCCGGCTGGGTCGCCCGGCTCCACGCCGTCCTGGCTCCGTGGTCGAGGGTCCGCAGCTCTCCCGGAGCCGGGAGGCCCAAAGGGTCGGGCCTGTCTCTTCTGAAGTGAGCCCCTGGGGCTCTTACACAAACGAGGTGCTCGTGCGCCAGCCACACGCGTGTTAGGCAGAGTCGGCGTGACCAGACACAGCCTCACAAGGAGAGAGGGGTGCGTCCCAGTCCCCCGCGGCTACCACTCTGCACAGCTGCAGGAAGGCAGGACACTTTGCGTGTGTTCGTCCTACGGCCGCCGCAGCAGCAGCGGCGTATCAGCAAGCGTACCGGAGAGCTGCGGCGTTCCTGCCAGTGCCCCGCCTGGTGCGCAGCGGGCCGGGGACACCCCCGCCCAGAGGCCTTCTCTCGTTCGCACGCCCGCACGCGTGCGTCTGGCAGGGCCGGGCAGAGACGTGCAGCCGTGCGGGCACGGACCCATGCGGCCCTGACCGGCGCAGCACACGGACTGTAAACACGTGTATTGGACCCCGGCCATGGAGACACGCACGGCGGGGGGTGGGGGGTGGGGTGTGGGGGCGGGGACACACCCAGGAGCCCAGGCCTCCTGTGCGCTCACCCACCAGGGACGGAACCTGCGACCTTTCCGGGGAGATGCTTCCAACCAGACGCCCCGGCCAGGGCTGGTTTTTGTTCCTTTAAAAGTAAAACACAACACACAACAAAAACACAGACACACACTGAGGTGGGCGACAGTGACGCGGGTGTCGGGGGGAGACGGCGCTTCTGTGCTGCCCGAACCCAAGGCAGCGGGGGAAGGACGGAGGGTCGGCATCCGCCCACTTGGTCTGGCTTCTGTTTCGGGGAGAGGGGGGCGCCTGCAGAGCTGCAGTGTGGTCTGAACGAAGCAAGAAAAGGGCACAGACAGAGGGAAACAGAGCGGACAGCGCGGGCAACGGGAGGGGAAGGGCGGAGGGCAGAGGCAGGTCGCTTGGGGCAGGTCGGCCTGTTTCTTGCAATGCCTCCCCCCCCCCCCCCGCCCCCGGCTCTGACATCTACTTTAAACACAGTGCGGGCCATCCTCGGTGCTCAGCCTGGAGCACACGCACCGCCCACGGCAGGGCGGGCAGGCCGTGGGCCCGAGAGGGAGGCGTCACGGGGACTGGGGGACCTGTGGAACATAACTTAATCACCTGGGGCCTTGAAGGCAACCTCACTTAAATACAACGTTTCAAGGAAGAGCGGCATGACAATGTAAATCTGCAGCAAAAGGATGCGAATGCAAATGGCACTGGCCGCGAGAGGCGGCGAGCAGAAGGGGGAGCGGGGGAGCGGAGCGTGGAGCGCTATGTACACAGCCCGGCTGGGCTCCGTCCTGAAGTCTCCGGGGCGAGGGAGCGCCATGGCCCGAGGGGCTTTGCGGGCCGGAGGGGACGGGGCCTGGCCGGCGAGCGGAACTCGGACGGCTCTGGGCAGCGGGCTTGTTTGGCTGGGCGTGTCTTTCTCTGTCGCTGGACATTGAACTGAAGCTGTCAAGGGTCCAGCTCCTCTCTGTCCCGTTGTTCAGGGTCACTGACCCGTGGTTCATGTCCAGTTTCAAAATGCCACACAGTTCTGGAAGCCAGGGGAGCCCTGGCTCAAGGGCATGACCTGTGTGGGCTCCTTCCTGCCGACAGGACTCGAGGAGCTATGGTTCTGCAGGGGGGTGGCTCCCCTACGGCATTTACAGGGCCTGCGGAGGGGCGTGCGTGGGTCCCCAGACTGCTGACCGGCAGACGCCTGCTGATCGCCCCTATCTGGGGGCGTGGGTGGCACAGACCCTCGGCGGGCCCAGAATCGTCCAGAGCGGAGGTCCTTCCCCGGGCACGTGGGGCAACGCCTGGAGAGATGCTTTGTTGTCGACGGGCAGGGTGCTGCCGTCACCCACTGGCAGCGACTGAAGATGCCGGCGGACACCCCACCGCGCACGGGAGAACCCACGGCACAGGCCCTGCCAGGTGGGGGCCCTCCGGGGTGCTCACCTGCAGCGGCTCACCTGCCCGGCCGCAGCTGGGAGGCGCCGTTCCCTGCGTCTGCGGTCTGGGGAGGAGCACCTGCTGTGTGCTTCCCACTCCGCCCTGGGACCCGCTCTCGCTGTCCAGGTTTTGGTTGCTTCTCTTTTCTCTTTTCTTTCCCTTCCTTTCTCTCTGTCTTTTTTTTTTTTTTTTAACAAGATGCTGGGTGACAACAACCCACTGTTTGGAGGAGGACACTCTAGAAACAAGGGGGAAGGGGCTCCAACGTGGCAGTCTGCGTGGGTGCTGTGGTAGCCCTGTATGTAGCATTAAAAACCTTGTGTTCAAAAGGAAATCAAACTGGCAGCTAATCCACTTTAAAAAAAAAAAACAGAAACAGAACAGAAAAGCTCATGGCCGCCGTTCTGTGCGCACGGCGGGCGTCGGAGGCCGCGGCGGGGGGCTTAGCTCATGTGGAAGCGGTGCTCCCCCCGCGTGATGTGGCTCGAGAACTCGTACCTGTCCTGGCTGTGGTAGCCGCACATGTTGCACTCGAAGGGGTCGCGGAAGCCGTGGCAGCCCATGTGGATGGTGTACATGACGTGGTCCAGGAAGAGCACCCGGCAGTGTTCGCACTTGTACACCTTCATGGGCTCGCCGCCCGTGCCCACCACCCGCAGGGCGTCCTGGGAGCCGTCGGAGGCGGCCCGCAGCGCGTCGTAGGCCGGCAGCCCCTCCTCCTTGATGGACAGGCCGTTGCGGGCGTGCGGGATGTGGTTGGTCAGGTAGATGAGGCCGCCCCGGTGCTCCTCCGTGTTGCTCTCCGTGTCCGTGGAGTCTTGGCAGCTGTTGCTCGGGGACGCCTCCCTCTCGGAGGACAGGGACTTGGCCTTGGACAGCAGCAGCAGGTTCTCCACGGCGCTGTCCTGGGCGGCGTGGTTGGGCCGCGCGGGGCCCTCGCCGTGCGGCTTGTGCAGCTGGTACAGCGGGCTGAGGACCGGGACCACCTCGGAGCCGCCGGGGGGCGTCTGCACCAGCGGGCGCAGGGACTCGGCCCCCAGGTAGCTGATGGCGTTGTTGATGGCCTGGTCCATCACGTGGGTCTGCATCATCTCGTTCTCCTTCTCGTAGCTGGCGCCGCCGTCGTAGGGCACGTCCGACAGGCACTTGTCCCCTGTGGGAGGCAGGGCACCGTCAGCGGGGCCGGGCTACCTTGCTGGGTGGCAGCAACAGCTATCTGCTCGGGGGGGCAGGGGGGGCCCAACCCGGGTGTCTGACCATTCCCAACCTGGGGGCCTCGAGACACTCCTGCTGGCGGCCCCTGGCGCTGCGGCTGGCCCGCGGCGGGCGTTCAACAAAGCTCAGGCGGACCAGCGAGCACATGACCCGGCGACACAGACGACTCCCACGGGCTAAACCGGGGGTCGCGTCCTTTCGCCACGTGAGTTCGTATGTAACTAAACAGGATTATAACTAACTCCCGCATTTAAACGATGTCCGTTCAATATGGCGTTCTAAATAATTTATAACGTATTATACATTTAATTAAATGCATAATTACGTGATTATTCCCAATAATGTGCAATGCATGTATTTAAAATAATAGTATGTGATGTACTCTAAATTCGGAGCGTTCGTGTTCTGGAATGAAACTGAATCGACATGTATGACAACTCATAGTCTTCTTACCCAGAGCGCAGAGCTGAAGGGGCTCCGACTTGGGTTCAAGAGGGTGTTTAGACGTAACAGCCACCCCCCACCCCTGCCCCCACCACCTCTCTGCCTGCCCCTCGCCTGCAGCACCGAGGCCCCGCCCACAGAGGCAGGGGGTGGGGCCACAGGGAAGAGGGCGTGTCCCTCACTGTCCTTCCCAAACCTGACTGAGCAGCAGCGAGGCCCCGCCCACAGAGGCAGGGGGTGGAGCCACAGGGAAGAGGGCGTGTCCCTCACTGTCCTTCCCAAACCTGACTGAGCAGCAGCGAGGCCCCGCCCACAGAGGCAGGGGGTGGGGCCACAGGGAAGAGGGCGTGTCCCTCACTGTCCTTCCCAAACCTGACTGAGCAGCAGCGAGGCCCCGCCCACAGAGGCAGGGGGTGGAGCCACAGGGAAGAGGGCGTGTCCTTTCCGAGTCTGACTGAGCCGAGCGAGGCCCCCAGTGCCACCGCCCAGCGCCGGCCAGACGCGGCGTGACCTCGGGCTGCGGGAGAGCTCGCCTCCCCATGAAGACTGAACTCCGGGTCTAGCTCTGGCCTCCTGTCGAGCCCTGGAGCGCACGTTTTTGCGAAGACATAAAACGCATCGCTTCGAAGCCGTGCCCTCCCCACTGGCCGGAGCTCGGCGTGCGAGCCCTCCTCGGTTCGCGCGGCCGCCGCCGGGAGGGCTGCGGGTTCGCTCCCTTTCGGGGCGGCGGATACTCCGGGGGCGGGGCCGACCCGGGAAGGGGGGGCACACTTTCCCTTCACCCCCCACTCGGTCCCCTCCTGCCTCCAGCACACACTCGGGGAGCCTCTGCGGCGGCCGGCCGGGCAGCGGGGCCGGGGGGAGCAGGTGAGCGCACGGCGGGACGGACCCTGAAGCTCCGAGGCTCCTCCCGCAGCCGGTCCCAAGTCGTGAGGACAGAGAACCCTCGCGGGGACCCTGTCGCCCACTGGCTGAGGACGGAGGACAGTCGGCCGGGGGAGGGGCTCCCGCGGCCCGCGGTGGCTGCCGCAGGAGGGCACGGGCCCCAGGGAGCCTGGGGCTTGGCGGGGGGGGGGGGGGGGGGGGGTGGTGAGGGTGCCGTGGCCCGAGCCGGGGCGCAGAGCGGGCGAGGGGGGCAGCCTGGGGTCGGCAGCAGGGCTGCGCCCGGCAGGGGCTTTGCCCAGAGGAGACGGGAAGAAGCCCCCGCAGGGTCTGAGGGAAGGGGGCGGGGCCGGGGGGATGGAGGAAAGGGGGGCGCACGCAGGCTGCCCCCAGAGCCCGGGTTGTAGCTGGTGGGGGCAGAGGAGGGCGCCCTCCCCACCCCCCGCCCCCCACGGTGACCCTGACATCGAGGTCTCCTGCTCGGCCGTGGCCGCGGAAGGACAGGCTCCTCCACCGAGTGTGGGCTCGTTGATGACTCGCTTTAAGACACCTGTGACCCCTGGTAACGGCCAGGGCACGTGCCCTCACTCTGCCAAGTGGCTTTCCGTCTCCTCTGTCGCCTCGTGGTGGACGTCCACCACCCGATGGCCTGGCTGCTCCGAGGGGCACAGACCCTGCTCTGATGTTCCCTGGGGTCCACAGGTGACCGGCAGAGCACCTGCCAGTGGCCCGCCCCACCCTCTGCAGCCCCCGATCCTCAGGGACCCTCGGCGCCGGGTGGGCAGCCGGCCCCCGGGAGGGCTGCTCTCTCCGTCGGGGTCGGAGGAGGGGCTGGACAATGGGACGGAAACCACAGCTTTCTTTTCTGTCCTCGTGCCGAGGTGCTGCCAGCCTGTCGCCCGGACCCCAGAGCAGCATTCAGGGGCTCTGGCCGGGTCCGGCCTGTCCCTCCCGCACCTCCTGGCTGGGAGAGGAGGCCAAGGGAGTGTCTGTGGATGGTTCTAGGGGGCGTGAGAGAGCCCCGGCCCCGCCAGAAGCCGCGCTTCTCCCGCTCATGCCCCCGCCCCTCCCCGAGGTCTCGCGCGGTGGGTCCCGAGCAACCAACGAAAGCCGTGGGTTTGGACCTTCGGCGGCAGCGACAACACGTGGGTGCAGGGCAGAACCGTGCCCTGACACGGCCCGCAGCTCTCCCCCGCCCCCCCATGCTCCTCCAAGTCAGAAAAGAACCCCCCCAAACCTGCTTGGGCGTCAGGTAAGGAAAGGCACATGCTCCCGTGAAATGCGAGTGTTAACAAGTCAGCGACCCAGGCAAGAAAACCCCGGCACCAAGTGCGTGGCAGAGCCCGGCGGCTGCCACTCCCTCCCCGATCCTGCCGTCCGAGTCAGCCCAGTCCTCCGCGTTCCCCCGACGCCTGCGTGTCCCCGCGGCCTTCTCGAGAGAGGCGGCGGCGGCTTTCCACGCCTGGTCAGAAACACCGCGCGCGGGCACCTCTGCTCCTGAGAGCCAGGTGACCCTGGGCCAGAGAGCTTGAGGTTGGCCCCCGCGACGGGAGCGACGTCCTCCGTGCAGGGACGCGGCCCACAGCGCCGGGGGGTCCCCGTGGGGGTGGAAAACACTCCGTCACCCGGTGGTGCCACGGCAGCGAGCTGGGGACACCGAGCCCCGTCTGAACACAAGGGCAACAGAGCCGAGAGACGGCCTCTGCACAAAGACAACACCCGCCTCCCCGCCCCCCACAGCCCGCCCTTGGCCTTCTCTCGGGGTTTAGAAAGGTCGGCAGCTCTCACGGGAAAGGAAAAGTCTCCGGTACAGTGGGAAGGATGTTGAGACATCAATCGGTCTACGTCGGACCGAGGCGAACACGAAGATGAGAAGCAGCACGTTGGTTACGGTGAAAATATTTTCTCACAGTGCAGCGGGAGACAGGAAGTGACAAACCACTGGGCCACCCTGGGAGAAGGGCTCGATTCAAAGAAGAGAGGAAATGGCTCACGATGGCTTCGTGACGTGGGCCCGGTAAAAAAAGAAAAGAAAAATACTGAGAGGGGGCGCGTGGAAGCAGCAGAGGGAGGAGAAAGAGGAGACTCGATCTCAGGACCCGGACGGTGCCGGTGGCCTTCCCCCAGGGCCCGGGCGCGGGCGAGACCACCCAGCGGGAGGACAGAGCCGCCTGGACCTGGGACCGCCGGTGCAGGGGAGAGACGCACCACGGCCACAGGGACTGCGTGTGGAAAAGAAACCCGACACGAGATGTGAACAGATGCGGGAGACAGATGACCATCCAGCGTGGGGCCGCTGGCACCCCCGAGGACAGAACACCACAGATGGAACCAAAAACGCATTTCTGTAAGAGAGAATTTCCCAGAAGTAAAGAAAAGAAAGGGAATTCCCATTTTTAAATGGCAGGACATTTTTACTTAGAATGTAAAACACCAAGTCACATCCAAGTGAGGGCGTCTGACTCTAAGGTTAGACAAAGGACTCTTCAGGCATTTGGGGGAGTGTGAAAATGTCACCGTCCTCGTGAATCATGGGAAGATCTGCGAAGTTCTCAGGGGGACACATGGGGCGACCTGACACCACACCCTCAGCCAATAGGCCCCCCAGGTGTTGACAGAAAGGCAGCCGGTGGCCACCCTCAGACCCAAAATGAGGGTGGACATAGAACACCCTTGGAACATTCTCAAAAAAGGTTGCGTGACTGTGAAGTCCAACCAATGAAGACATTACTGAAACCGACAGAAACGGTGACGCCCGAAGCTCAGGTGACAGGGAATGGCCACCGTTACTGAAAAACAACAAAAACACTGAACAACGAAACAGCAGGAAAAGGACTGGGACGGAGCCTTTCCTCTAAATGCAGAGTTAACAGGCCACTCACCCAAGGGAACTCTGATCTCAGGGCCGAGCGTGGAAGAACTAAGTCGGAGGTAAAAGTAACAATGTAGCTGGTAAAAGTAACAATGTAGCTGGTAAAAGTAACAGTGTGGCTGGTAAAAGTAACAATGCAGCTGGTAAAGTAACAATGTAGCTGGTAAAAGTAACAATGCAGCTGGTAAAGTAACAGTGTGGCTGGTAAAGTAACAATGCAGCTGGTAAAGTAACAATGTAGCTGGTAAAGTAACAATGTAGCTGGTGAAAGCAACAGTGTGGCTGGTAAAAGTAACAATGCAGCTGGTAAAGTAACAATGTAGCTGGTGAAAGCAACAATGCAGCTGCACACAGGGAAGCAGGCAGGGACGGACTGCACCAATGTAAGCAAAGGAAACATGATGTGAAGGCTTTAATAGTTTTCCAAATGTATCTTCTTAATCTTAGAGAAACGCTTTAAGAATAGCTTCTGTGTGGAGTGGGGGGAAGGGTATCTATTTGAGGACGAGCTGGTGTGGCTCTCCCTCACCCCCTAGAGTTAAGACATGGGTAAGAGGGACGCTTTCATTTGAAATAGCATCTGCCAGCTGACGGAATTTTCACGTGTGTATTTGATCAGTTCACGGACTCATCGCCCTCCCTGCTCCCAGATTTACTTTCATTTTTCAGAATAAAAGGATATTTAGAATCGATCTCAGCTACTCTTAGTGGTGGTCATTTCTGGATGTTGGGTCTTGTGGGGATTTTAAAGTATTCATCTCCGCGTTACAATTCTTTATATTAGCCATGTGTCATTTTAATAATGCAATGGGGAATTTTTTAATTTAAAAAAGTGTAAACTTCTACTGAGACAGTTACGATGGGTAGCAGGGGTATCGATGGCTGTTCTTTTCTCCTTCTGTTTCCTCTCCCGTATTTTAAAAGTTCTCTCACCACAGCCACCAAACACACTGAGAGGAGCGGCCGGCACCGCCACGCAGCCGCGCCACGTCGCCCCCTCGCTGCGTGGCCCGTCCGCCCCGCCGCCCAGTGCCTGGCTGTCTCAGAGGACGAGGTCTTCGATGCCACAGAGCAGTGGGCAGTGTGACCAGCAAAGTAAAAACTGACACTCCTGCCAGGGTTTAGTTTAAAAATATAAATCGCAGGTCACACATCCACGAAGCAACAACATATGCCGCTCTGAGCAACACTCAACCCGAAAACTGTCAGCTCCTGTGGCTCAGGCGCCTGCGAGTGTTAGGGGTGCTGCCAGCCCCGGCGGCCGTGCTCTGGGGTCCTCGGAGCAGCTGTGGGGAGGGGGGGGGCGGGGGCCTCAGGCCCGATTCACAGGCAGGCACACTGAGCCCGGGGATGTGCTCCAGGTCAGCCCAGGGGCGTGCTCAAGGTCAAGCTGGGGAGCTCTGACTGCCCCTCCCCCACCCTGGGGAATAGCTCCTTCCTATGGGCTCTTTCTGAGTTCACACAGAGGATGCACGTGGCACCCAGAAGTTAAGGGGGAACTTAGAGACGAGTGTCCTCCTCGATGGTGGGGGAGACGCTGCAACAGGTCGGCAGTGGTTCATTGAACTCCTGGCACAGCGACCTAGCCTTCGGGGGCTGGGACAGCCCTTGTTTTAGACGAAGGTCACCAGTCGCCAGCCTCTGGTGGTGGGGGGTCACCAGGCAGGGTGCACAGCCGCTTCGGAGCTGGCCATCTGCGCGGCTGTGACTGCTGGAGGAGGGAGGCTTTCTCTTCGAACACGGGAGCTTCTGACTCTCAAGACAGCGCCTAAGGGGCGGCTCGTTGGGGCGGCCGCTGCAGAGTCTCCCGGTCTCATCTGGGGAGGAGTCTCCGGAAGCTCACGCCAGCTGCCTGCGTTCACCGGCAAAGCCCTGGGCAGCGTCCTGTGCGGGCCCCGGCTCCCCACGGTCACCCACTGCCTGTCCCTGGTCGCCAGCAGCCACCGTTCCTGCCTCCCGGGAGTGCGCCCAGCGCCCCCCTCGGCCCAGGGAGGCGGGAAGCCCCGTGCGGCAGCCCCCTCTGCACTGCCGCACCTTGACCCCCGCTCTGCCTAGGAAGTTGGAGGTCTCCCCCACAGCAGCCCGAAAGAGCTCACACGCGTGGGCACCTCCCCCACGGCGGCCCCAGCCAGCGGTTTGCGAGAGTGTCTCTGACTTCCTCCCCCCCCGCCCCAAGCCTGCGGCAAACCTCTCTCTAGAGCCCGATCAAAGCAGGCCTAGTTCCAGTGCAGCGGCGGGGAGGGGCTAGAACCCGGGGCCGGGCCTCCGCCTCATGCCCCCTTCCCACCACCCTGCCCGTCCTCAGGGGGTGCGGCGGCACCCTGTGGGCCCCCGCCCTGGGAACCGTGGCCTGTCAGACCCTCCTCCCTCCCAGCACCCGTGACCCGGCTCCCACGTGGCCTCTGCCCCCGGAAGTCCTTGGAGACTGGCGGACTGAAAATGGAACTCGGTTTCCTCTAGAGCCCGCCTGGGTCACAGCTGCACCTGGCACCGCGGTGACTCACGGTTTCCACCACCCGGGTCTGCGTGGGCCCACGGAACCCCCTCTGCAGCCCCCCTGCCCACCCCCTCCCCTCCAGGGCCGCCCCCCCGCCCTTCCAACCCTGCAGCCCCCGTCCGCCAGCTGGGACAGACCGCGGTCCCGTGGGAACACGCCACGCTCTGCCCCGCCTGGTGCGTGAACGGAGTCTGCGCTCGCCCCGGCGCTCCAGGCGCAGCCCCGGCCGGCGTGCACCGGGCCTTCATTGCCGTCGCTCCCCTGAGCGACACCGTTTACCCAGACCACACTCGCACCCCGCTTGCCCCCGCCAGCCCCAGCCCTTCTCGGCATTTCGGTCTGTCTGAGGGTCCGCTCCCCTCCTCCCACTGCCCGCCCTCGGCCCAGCCCTGCTGCTCCATCCAACCAGCTCGCCGTCGGCCTCACAGCTTCTGCCGACCCGCCTTCCCGGACACGGCCCTCCCCCGCGGCCCCCTTCCCTCGAGGGGACCCTCCCCCGTGGCCCTCTGTCCACATCATCCCAGAGACGACACTTGACCTTCATACTGACAGCTGCTAAATGTTCTCACAGCCTTGCTGCCACTTCGTCACCAAACCCAGACCGGAGAGAGAACCCAGGAGTAAATCCAGGACTGGGAGAGGCCCCCGCCTCACCAAGGTGACAGTGTCCGTGCGTGGCCGTGACGGACACCTAGGTGGGCCCCCCGCCAGGGCCGCCCACACTCTCCTGCCGGCCTCCGTCCCCCCCGCTGCCCTTCAGGGTCCAGCCCGGGTGGTGGCCCTGGGTGCCCCGTCTGTCACCTACACGGGGCAGCAAGTCCCCGGAGATGAGCTGTGTCCCTCCACTGTTTACCTCTCCAAGCACTGCCCCAGGCAGAGAGTTGCCTGTGACAGTGACCAACCTGGCGGTGCCCCTTTCCCCTGGGCACCGCTCCCGGGCCGGGTGCTGGCGGTTCTGCCCGCCAACCCTTCAAGGCCACCCACGTGGAAGGCGGTGTGAGGTTCAAGTGGAAAGCGGCCGTGTCCAGCTCAGGCAGGGGGCGCCCGGGCTGTGTGGGGGGCCCCTGGCCGAGCCGGGCTCCCACACGTGACACTGGGCACACTGACTTGCCCCTCCCCGTGCCCACGGGGTGTCCAGGGGCAGACCCCGAGTGTGCGGCCACCGCAACACCACGTCTGGGACAAGCTACTGGCAGAAAGTTTGCCGTGTTTCCGAGGCCTCTGGAGAGAATTTCAGGGTATGTGAGAAATGGTATGCTTGCCCGATTTTGCTTTTTCTACAAAAAAAAACCCGGGGTGCTCTTTCTTTTTCCTACCCTTGTGCAACCACCCCCTGAGCCTAGACCCCTCCCCGCCCCCCCGTCCCCCCGCACCTGGGAGTGTTTAAGAGACAGCAAACGGTGAACTCTTACCAACAAATTTCTGAGGCATAGAGCTCTTACGTTTGGCGACGTTACTCGCAAGCCTGTCCAGCACGAGGGCCCGCTCGGCCGCCGTCTTGCACAGGTCTTCCGCCATGTCGCCGTGGTTGGCTTCCTCCTTCAGGACTGAAGGCAAAGACAGCCGGAGAGGCCGGGTTAGAGAGGCGGGCAGGCGGGCGGGCGGGCGGGGAGAGGACCGGCGGCGGCGTCCGCCCAGCGTTAATCTGACGGCTCTGACACGCCGACAAAGGCCGGGCTCGCGGCGGAGATTACTTCTAATCTTCCCAGAGGACGGAGCGCCGAGGCCCACCTGCTGAAGGGGCTGCGCCTCCGCCCCCGGGACCCCCAGGCCGAGCCTCGTGACTGTCACCGGGGAGCAGGCTGGGACTAATCGTGTCTGATGAGGGGTCTTAACTGTTCACAGGCGCCCAAATCCGCTAACTCGGTCCGCCCCCCCGAGCAGCGGAGAGCTGTCAGAGCCAGAGCGGATCGGGGGTCTGACTCCTACCCCGGGCGCGGCGAGCCCAGGAGCAGAAGAAACACTCGAGACGCCCCAGCTGACGCTGACGCCGGCCTCGCGGGGAGAGAGCCCCGGGCCCCGGCCCTGGACGCACACGCACCCTCGGCACGACCGACGGTGCCCTCGGACCCCGGGGACGGAGGGGCCGCGGGGCAGCTGCAGATGGAGGGCGGCGTCCTGGGCCACCTTCGGTTTTCTCGGGCTGCCTCTCTCTTCCCGTAACCGAGGACACGGCTTTGGGTCCTGCACGGTCTCAGCTAGTTTTACGACTGGAGTTTGGAGATGGAACTCTTCCATCTCCCTGGAATGTACCCCCAGGTGCACGGAGCTGAACATGTACACTGACTGCCCTCCTAATAGGTCACGGATCCTTCCAGCGCAGCGCCTGGACAGTCCTCACAACTCCCGCCGCGGGTGTCTCTCTCTCTGGGGCCTCGCGGCGTGTATCCGTTTCCGCCGCAGCCCCGTCCGCCCCGCCAGCGGCCCTGCCGCCGCTGCACTTTGACGCAGCAGGAGAGACAGTGCTCTTCCTTCCAACAGCTGCCACCCCCCCCGGGGTTTTGCAGGTACACTTCGTGATGCGTGGCTTCCAGATCCCACTAGGGCGTCCAAAGCCACCTGATGTGCAGCCACACCTGGGCTCAGGGACACGCGCGTGCAGCGTCCGGCCCTCTGACCCCACCCGCCTGCCACGGTACCTTTCTTCCTCATCTGCCGTGCTAGCTTTCCCCCTCGTGTCCCGCGCATCACCTGCTAAGGTCATGTCTAATTGTTTTCTGTCTCCAGGGCATCCTTACGAATGCCACTTTGAACAAAAGCGTATTTCGAAGTGGTCGGTATCACAGGTGTGTCGTTTTGAGCATTAGAAGTGAGCTTCTCACTAAATGCACAAACACGACACCCTGGTTTCTATGAGAGGTGCACACAGGACCTGTGAAGTTCAGGGTCACCGGCCACACTTGGGCCCGTGGGGCGGGCAGGCTTCCCTCGGCGTCTGCCCTGCCCTTCCCTGAGAGCAGGGCGCTGTGCCCCCCGATCCCCCCGGCCCTTCCTCAGCGGGCTCCCTCTCTGCCAGGCTGCGGGCCCCTGCGGGCCGGACCCTCAGAGTGCCCAGTGAGGACAAGTGACCCCCCACCCCCAACCCCTGGCCACTCGGCCCTTCGCTGGACTTCCTGCTGAGGACTCGTGACTCCACCTGCTCCCCTAAGGCTCACGTGAGGCTGGTGTGTTTTGTAGGGACATTGAGAGACTAGTATAGGTGACCGAAATGCTTTATACTTAGGGACACTGTACTTAGGAAAATTAGTCCCTCCTGCACCCTGTCAGCTAGGTTCTGTTTGTACCTAGTCCAAAGGATGGCTCCCCAGCTGGGGGGGTGGGGGTCCCCCTGAGCACTGGGGTGGGGGCTGCTGTCTGGGGCACGGGAGGACCAGGAGGGGGCGCGGCAAAGCCACGCGGCCGGGAGCCCCCACTGAGGCCCCCCGCCTGCCCTCGGACCCCAGACGTCCTCCGGGCGGACCTGCACTCAGGGGCCTCTGTGGCTTCTGAGCCCCCGCAGCCTGCGCCGCCCAGGGGGGACCCCCCCATCGGGGGATGCAGACAACGTATGTGGGGGGGGTCAGAAGGAGCACGTCAGGTCAGGGCTGCGCCGACTCGGGGCCCGGGGGAGCCGTGAGTGTGTTTGCTGTGGACATGGGAGCTCCGGGACTCGCCGAGAGGCGAGAGCTGAGTGTCGGGCCTCAGGTGCCGGGGGGTGTGCGGCGCTGACCCCTCGCTCACACCCCCTCCTCCTCCCCTGCTCTTCCGGCCGGGGGGGGCGGGGTGGGCAGGAGGCGCACCCCACGGAAGAGGGGGGCTCGGGGCCCGAGCGGGAAGCTGCCACCGTCCCTCAGTCCCGGGGACGGCGGGGAGACCGTGGGCCCCTGCGCCTCGTCTGCCCTGTCCGTGGGCCCCGCGTGCGGACCGGACCGTCACGGGGAAACGCTCACTGTCCCACGTAACGGGGTTGGCGCCGCGCTCCCGCGTCCTTGGTGAGTGCGTGTGGGGCGGACAACGGCCGTTCAGCGGCAAACCGGCCGCGCTCATGCCTGAGACCCGCTCGCTGATTGTTCGCAGAAAGTATACTGTCTGAGCGTGCGCACTTTATTGCGAAAGCAGCATACACCGTCCTCTCGTCCCTCGGTCTCCCACCTCGGGGCCTGGCCAGAAACCAGTGACTGCTGCACGGTCCTTCCTGCTTTTAACATCTGCTCTCCTTCCTCCGCGGACCCACAGCGCCTCTCCATGCTGGGGGCCCGCCCCGGACCCTGAAGGAAGCTACACGGTCATCTCACCACCCATTCCACGCGGGGGGGGGGGAGGCCCAGGCACAGCCGCCGCCAGCCCGGGTGAGGGTCGGTGGGCCGGGGACAGAGCCAGGACCTGGGGAGTCCCGTCCCACGCGGCCGCTCCGGGCCAGGACGTGTGACTCTCCCCCTCATCTGACCCCTCGTCACCCCCCCCGTCCCCCCGCCTCCGATGGCCTGCGTGTCCCCAAGCCTGAGACGGCCGCCGAGCTGCACACAGAGAAATGGTCACACACCCCAGTCTCACGTTGGCTTGACCACGACAAAAAGATACAATACTCAAAGAAAACTTGAGTGTAAAAAATATCTGTCCCTAGTGGGTTTCCTTGACGAGACAGCCACCAGTGTCGGAGAGCTGCCTGAGACTTCCTCCCTTCCCAGCCATTAACTTGGCGGCGCCCCCTCGGTCTGGGACCGGCGTCCCAACGGCCGCGCTAACTCAGCCGTGTCTGGGGAGAGACGCCTGCAGGTGACCTGCTCAGAAATGTCTTCTGCCTCAACGAGACAGGGGGTGCCCTTGCTAGCACCACCGTCCCCCCCTGAGTCGACGCAGCCCCTGGGCCGGAGTCCCCCCATCTTTTCCTTCAAACTGTTTAAGACGGGGGCCAGGTACGCTCTGGAGATGCAGCCCAGTGCGAAGCATCGAGCCCTCGAGGACGGGGGGCCGGTCCCCGAGTCCGGGGACAGCAGCCCTGCCGCCGACCGCCAGGGCTTGCTCCCCGCTCCCGGGCTGGTGCCGCCGGCCAGCACCGAAAGCAGCCCGGAAGCTCTTATCAGAAAAACTTCATGAAAATGGTGTTTTCAAACAAGATTTCACATCTTGTCTTGGTTGCTGGGCACAAAGAGGCAATCAGAACTCCAGGTTCAAAAAGAAAATGACCAAAACCCAAAACAAACAAATAAACAAAACCAATGTCAAGGGCCCCTAGCACCTTAGAAGAGGGAGGGGTTTAAGGTCCAGCTCCCTCCGGTGACACGGGCCTGCGCTCTGAGTGGGCGTGTGTGTGTGGGGGGGGGTCGCTGGGTCCCGGCAGGCGGGCGGGCGGGTGGGCGGGCAAGCCCGGGGCGGGGTCTGGCCCCCGAGAGCGGCCGTGGCGCTTACCTGGGTACAGCGTGCCTGGGAGGCCCATGGTTTGCAAGTAGTTGTGGCAACGCTCTTTATGTTCCTCTAAAGAGCTTCGCTGTTTATAGCTTCGGCCACAATATCCACATTTGTGAGGCTTACCAACTGCAGAAAACAGAATGGAGTTCAAGTCCCCAGTTAGACGCCGGCCTTACGGGTGGGGGGTTGCAACACAGACACGCCCGAGAAGCCGGAAGACGCTCCACCCCGGAGAGCTCACAGCACCGTGCGCTCGGGCGACACGTGCACGGCCGAGGAACACCGGGGACGCCGAGGGGGTCCTGAACTGCCCCGAGACCTGCCGTGGGTCAGGCTCCGTCCCAGTCGGTCCCCTCTGCCGACCCCGGGCCTCTCCGGCCGGCCTCAGGCGCTGACACGTGTCCCGTGACAGGAGGGCACGCACCTCCGTGGCGCCACCGTGCCGAGAGGCCCCCCGGGCCGAGGCGGGAGGAAGGGCGTGTGTGTTGGCGGCTGGATAACAGTCAGATTTGTCTGCGCCCGTCTCCCCGGGGGCCAGAGCCTCCCCCACCAAAGTCAGCTCCCTCCCAGGGTGCACGCTGGGTGATCTGGGCCTCCAGGACACCGTCAAGGTAAATATCGTCCATGAGAGGAGCCTTTGTTTTCCCAGACGCGTGCTGTTCCTAGAAGGGCCCCGTCCAGCGGGACCCCCCGAGGACCTAGGTACGGACCCCAGCAGCACCCCGGTTGTGGCCGGTCCTCGCACGGCGGCCGCCGGCCGCCTGGGGCTGCATGCGGAGCATTCGCCCAGCGGTCACTTTGTTTCCCGGATTCGATTCCGACCCGAACGCCAGGCGTGGCTGGCGGCTGCGGCGCGGAGCAGCCCAGCTCCGGACGGCGGCCAGGGGCGTCGCAGCGCAGGGAGGAGCCTCCTGGGGCGGCCAGTCTCCGGACTCCCACGCGCAGCATTGCCGGGGCGAGGGGGGTGCGCGTCTTTGACTGGTCACGTAAGGAGCACAGATTTCCGTCCTAAGGCCAGAATCGTCTTCCTTCTCAGGGTGTTGGGTGTTGCATCCTTGAAATTATTATATAAACATCGACGCCAGCTAAATAGGAATCTTGGGTGAAACGGTTTGACCAAAGCTTGCACTGGGTAGCTCTCTTCCTTAGGTGGACAGAAGCTGTCATTTAAGAAGACTAAGATGAAAAAAACAATCCCCTCAAAGTTTAAGTTCCGGAACATCTACCGTAATGAGGAATCAAAGGACCTTTGTCTGCAGCAGGGGTCGTAGCCCTAGCAGCAGGGGTCGTAGCCCTAGCAGCAGGGGTCGTAGCCCTAGCAGCAGGGGAATGGCGCCGACACACACGGTGCGGCCTAAAACGGCGTGTTGCACGGAGCGCTGCCTGTAACAAGGAAAAGGACGCAGGTGACCCCTCAGCGTCCTTCCCTGAACGAGCTGGGGCTTTAGCAGCTTCCTGGGTCACGGCCGTGGGTCTAGGTGTCCGTGTCTCTGAGCAAGTGGCCGGCGTTAACTCCGGGACCCCAGAAATGCGTTTGTGGGGATGGCAGCAGCACAGCCTGTCCTGGGGCGTCGCCCCGCGTTCTTCTGGGTGGAGGTCTCCGGCTCAGCTTGCTGCGCCCAGAGAGAGCAGTAAAGATGGGGGGTTCCCTTCTCTGCCGGCCACGCGTCCCCCACACCCCGTCTCTCCTGGTATCAGCGCCGGATACATCACCACTGATGGCTGGGCAGCCTCCGCACTGTGACTCCGGAGGCCAGGGCAGCGGCCCGGTCACAGCGGAACGGAGTGTGGCCACGTCTGAGCGGGCAGACGCAGGCCGCAGCCGTCGTCTCACTGTGCTGCGGTCTTCTGGCAAAACCGAGTCGTTTCTGCCGAGAGCTGCGTCCGTGGCCCCTCCGGGCGTCAGAACCCTGGGCAGCCCTGGGCCCGAGGCGGCTTTGCCCCGGCAGGAGGACCGGCTCACCCGGAGGTGAGCCCGCTGATAGGAATGCACCGTCCAGGGGCTGCCGGCGCCACAGAGCTTTCCCCGGGTCTGAGCAGGGCGGCGCCAGGTCCCGCAGGGAGCCGGCGGGCGTGCGGCCGCAGGGACCAGGCACGTGGAGGTGGACGGTCCTGACGTCCCAGCGGGGACCAGAGAGAGCGGCTTCGCGCTGAGCGCTGAGGCTGGCTCGCGGGAGAGGTTTCCGGGGGGAGTCCTTGTGCCCCGGGGACGCCGGGGACGGTGCGGCGGGCGCTCGGTGGAGGACCCGCCCGTGCGGGCAGCTGTGCGTTCAGCCAGCCCTGCCACGGTCTCAGGCGCTGACGTCCCCTCGAAGCTTCAGAAGTGGCGTCCGCCCAGTCTCTCCGCCCCAGGCCCTGCTGGGCACCGCACGCGGACTGCCGATGGCCACGCCGGAAGCCTGCGTCCGGCCCCTCGCGCACCCTCACCTCTGCGGGGGGCCACGCACGCCCCTCATCATGGACATGTGGAAACGTTTAAAAATGCCCACCGTCACGTCGTCGCCGTGCCGCCCTGGGGGAGCCACGATTCTCCCTGCCCCCTGCAGCACCGGCCTCCCCGGGCTGCAGCACGCACCCGGTCCTCCATGCGGGGGGTGGGTGGCCTTGGCCTCACGGTCACCCTCCCCGACCTGCCCGCTCCACAGGAAGGAAGGAAGGACTCCTCAGCTCTGTACGGCCCCTTCCTCGGGTGTGAAGACCCGGACCCCGACCACCACGGCCCACAGCGAGGAGTGTTTTGGGAGCCTCCTCCATGGACGGACCCCCGGGAAGGGGGTCAGGGCAGAGCAGTGAGGGCCCGGCCGGACGCGGGGGCTCCACCCCCAGCCACCCCCACGCCCTGGCTCCTGCGGGAGGACAGCAGAGCTGCATTGGCTACCGTGTGCCCAGCGCCCCTGCCTGGGGCCACTCACAGAACCGCACGCTCAGCCTGGACAGCTCTGAAGGGCAGCCTCAGACCCCCGCCCTCAGCCTGGACTCGAGCTCTTCTCTGCGGGGGTCTCTCCTGACGCCCAAGGCGGCCTGTCCCCTCTCGGAGCCCCCGCCGCCCCTCGGACACTGGGTCACAGCCCTGGGGGGGGGACACTGGTGCTTTGCCACTTTGCCTTCGTCTCCTCTGCCGGGGGACGAGGTCCCTGAGGGGCTGCGTACTCGGGTGACCAGGAAACGAACACAGCACGTGACCTCCGGCCTCTGACCCTCCTGACACTCATCGCGTGTGGGAAGGACATGGCGCGAGCCCAGGATATCCCCTGCACACAGCGTCCCTGCTCGGGGGTGGGGGCGCTGGTCCGAAGGCCCTTCCTGTCCCAGCGCCCTGGTCCGGCAGAGTCCCCGACACGGGCTGGTTTGCACGGACAGCTCCATGGGGCCGGGACTGCCACCTCCGGCCCAGGGCCCCCGCATGGCTGCAGTCCCCCTGCTCTGGCCTGTGAGGCCACCGGGCCGCCGGATGACGGAAAAGAGCAAGAAAGACTCCCGAGGAGGCGGACGACCTGACCCACTCAGGGGTGGCAGAGGGAGGGCCTGGATTATTTGGGGTGCGTCTAGCCGAATCTGCCAACTGGCCTTCCGAGGAGGCGCGCCTGGTTCCGGGGCGGAGGAATGGTACCGGGGCCCAGTGGGGGGGGGGGCAGCATGCCCTCCGCGACAGCGTCCACCTGCTCAGGACAGGGGCCCTCATCACCTCTGCAGTGACAGCTCCTGAAATCCTCTGCATAACCCAGTCACGCGTGTGGCTCCACTCGCAGCCCAAAGATGCGGATCTGGGAGCTTCCTGTGTGCTCGCACCAGGCCCGGCAAAAGCGCGGCGGGGACGTCCTTTCTGCAGGCCACTTACCTGGCCAGGCGGCTCGGGCCTCTTCTGAAAGCTCTGGCTACGGTGGGGCTTGGTGTGCGAGGTTCCCGCCCGCCCGACCCCCGCCTCTCTGGCTCACCCGCCAGTCGGGGACCCTGCCGCCACCGCCACCACCGTCCTAGGGGCGGCCAGAGGCCACCGACACAGGGCTGCCCCGGGCACCGGCCCCCACGCGCCCGCCCGCGCCCCGAGGACCTACCGGAGTGCGTGCGCAGGTGGCCCGTGAGGGCGTCGCGCCGGCGGCAGGCGTAGTTGCAGAGGTGGCACTTGAAGGGCTTCTCGCCCGAGTGCAGCTTGATGTGCCGCAGCAGGTTGCCCTTCTGCGTGAAGGAGGCCCCGCACTGGCTGCACTGGAACGGCCGCTCTCCTGCGGGGAGACGGGGGTCCGTGAGCGCGGCCGGCGGCTGGGGACCCGGGGGGCGCGCGGGCCACGCGGTGCTTTCCCACGGGGCCGGCGACTCCCACCGGCGGCAGCCTTGATCGAACATGAGGCTTTCAGACGCAACCTGCCAGCTTCTTAACGCTTCACTGCCTGGGTCAATTTGATCTGAAAATCTAATTTTTCCCCCTAAATCAGAGCGGCACATCACAATGCAAATTCAAACTCATTTAAATAAAGTGACTGCAACATTTTGTGATGAAGAGCCACTCTTCCTGATCAGCAGTTTTGGAATAAACCAATATCCAATTTTGCGTGTTGTGGCATTTGGCGGGGTTTTTTAATGTGGCTTTTTTCAAAGGGTCTTTAAAATATGCCACTGAAGCAGCAAAATAAAAAGGAAACTCATTAAAAATGCATTTCAGGATCACAAGTTCATTTCAGCGTTACATTCTTATATTTAAATGAAAGGCAGTTCATTATAACAGTTATAATAACTTCTTTTCATTTACATCTCCCTGTATTTCCTTTTCAATTTCTTCTCCATTACCTGTCTGTCCCTACACAGGCAGATCTGGAGGGAGAGAGAGACGGAGAGAGGCCAGCGGGACGAGGAGTGAGGAAGCCGGAGGGAACTCCACAGCATCCCGAGAGCCCCCCGTCTCGGCCCTGCCCCCCTCACACACCCTGGGGCCCCAGGAGCCTGTGCCCGGGAGACAGGAGACAGTTTCCCTGCAGGGCGTCTAGGGTGCGATCGGGCTGTCCCTAGGAGTCCTCTCCCAGGTGGTGCCGCGGGGGGGGTGGGGGCGGGTGGGCGGCGACCCTCTCGTCCGAGGGCCACGCGGGCCACGGGTGTGAGATGCTCAGGGGCAGCCCCGCGGCTGGGGGCCCGGGTCCGCGGCCACAATGTGCGCCGCTCACTTTCAGGACTGAGGCATTTGTCACGTGTGAGGAGCTGTGACGGCCCTCTCACGAACACACGCCGTGTCGTTCTGCAGAACTGCTCTGCGGGACCGCGGCCACGGCTGCTGAGATGCCGTAAGAGCGCGTGCTCCCAGGAGCACGTTTTCCCTCGGGAAACCGGAGCACGGGAAAACGCACATTTCCCAAGCCCCCCAGGGATTCACGCGGCGCGACGCTGGCAAACGAGGTGCCACTGTCAGGGGTGACTCCGTGGCAGCCCCTCTGGGCCCCTCAAACCTGCACCTGCGCGGCGGCGTCCTTGTCCCCTCTGCTGCTGGGGGGCGGGCAAGGGAGAGGCGCCGCTCTGGACCCCGGAGCGACCGACCACGGCGCTCAGACGCAGACCCATCATCAGAGGGGCCCGGCACTAACCGGGCCGCCCTGGCTGCCCGCCCAGGCGTCCACCCGGCGTGGACGCGGCCAGGCCGAGGAAGGGTGTGCGTCCACCGGCGGGAGCCGGTGGTCGTCTGACTGGAGCCTCCCCTCCTCTCCCCCGAGTCCTGCTGCTGGCCAGGCAGCCCCGGGGGGTGCCCAACCCGGGGACCGCCTCACCTCCCACCAGAAGCACCCCCGGGCCCTGCCCACACGCGCGTGTGGGAAGGCCTGCGTCATGTGCTAAGGAGGGGAGAGGGCCCCCTGCACACTGGGACACCCAGGCTGGGGTCCTGGAGGGACCGCCAGCTGGGGGCCTCCTGCCACGCGATGCTGTGGTGAGGATGCGGGGCCTGTCTGCCACGAGTGTGTGTGTGTGTGCGTGTGTGTGCACGACCCAAAGCTAGAGCCCTCCCCACGGACGAGGTGCGGGGGCTGCTGGGGGCTGCAGGGGGACTCTGTGGGTGAGCCAGGGCCTCGCGGGGACAGCAAGGCCAGGCCTCGGGCGCTGTGCTCCCCCCACCCCCCCACCCCTCTTCCCCAGAACAGGACAGGAAAGGGAGGAGGAAAGGCAGCCGTTTCTTCAAGAGTGAAATTGGGCTCCCAGTTTGAGTCACTGGTTCCAGGAACCCCGCTGTGCCGGGGCCGCCCTCCCGCCCGCAGCTCTCCTGGGAGTCTCCCTGCCTGGCGGCCTGGGTGAGGCGCGGGCCTGGGCAGAGCGCCCCCCGAAGGGACGGCCCGGGGAGCAGGACTCACGTCCCGTCCCTCCCCAGGGGTCAGCGGCGCAGGTGGGAGCAGGGTGGGGCGCGGGGGGGCGCAGTTGCCATGATTGAGGTGCTTTTGGGGTCTTTAGTGTTCAGAGCCCATGGTTTACACCAGCCACGCTGCACACCGCCGGGAGGGGGCGGCCCTGCGTCGGTCTCTCCCGGGCACCCCGCCCTCCGGGCACACCCCACATGGTGGGAGGAGCCACTCCTCTCCCGTGGGTGTGAAAACGGGGAGGCTGGGCCGCACACGAGGGCAGTGATGTTCAGGTGTCGACACGCCCTTCGACGGGGCCCCCGAGCTCCACACCGGGGTGGCGTCCCCGGCAGGGGGGCTGGCCTGCGGGCGTGACAGTCACTCGGGAAGGCGATCCCGGGCACCTGACTCGCTCATCGGGGGCGGGGCCAGGTCCTCACTCCTCAGGGGACGGGAGTGACTTTGGTGGTTCCTAGGCTCCCAGAGGAAGGGCCCCCGAAAGGTCACGTCTGCTGTCCGGTCCTCCGCTGCCGCCTGCCGACGCCCAGGCTCCCGGCCCAGCACCCAGGCGCTCGCTCTCCGGGGCGAGCCAGACGCCGCCTCTTCACGGGACCCCTGTGGGTCTCCCACGGTCTTTAAGGGGGAGCAGCGCTGCTCTAGCAAGGTTTACACCTGCAGGATTCGGGGCAGGACCGGCGATGCCTTTTCCAGCACATTCTACTCAGGGCCCAGGAACACGGACACTCCACTCAGGGCCCAGGAACGTGGACACTGCCCAGCACATCTACATGGTCAGGCTGACTTTGCCCGGGCGACCCACCCCACAGCCGCCTGGGGCCCTCTCTGTCCATCACGCAAGGGGCAGCGCCTTCTGGGCACAGCTGCAAGTTCCCTGTTTCAGCCTTTTTTCAAAGCAACAACAACAACAACAACCACCACCACCGAGAGGGCCAGGCAGGAACGCTCGCTCACACTGCTGGCCGGTAGCGCCCACTCCCGGGGTTTCTGGTTCTGCCAACAGAGGGCGGGAGTGTGGGCGGCTGCCTGCGGGAACAGGTGGGCGGGAGCGGCCGTGCGCTCAGCGTGTCCGCCCCGGCAGCTTCTCCCTTACAATCGTCCTGCCACCGGGGCAGGCGCCCTTGCGGTGTGGCGACCCAGTGCGCCAGGGTTCGACTCGTCGGTCAGACGTGTATGGGGGGACTGCGCACTCAGGAGGGCGATTCAGCTGGGCCGGCTGCGGCTCCCCAGGAGCGCAGGGGCCGGCCACCGCCGCGGGGCCTGCCGAGCGCCTCTCTGGCCGGCCCAGACCCGCCTTGGCCCGGCTTTGCCCCTCTCCCGGCCCTTGGGCGTCTCACTGGCTGCTGGGTGGGGGCGGAATACTTTCAGGAGTAAGTGGCGCATCCGGAAAAGCAGTTTGCTCCGTTTCAGAAAACAAGTTTTCACAGAAAAGGAATGCTTGCTGGAAGAAAACGCACTTTCCGTCTTTCCCCAGAGGGACGACGAATGGGAGTCCTCCTGCCAGGAACGGCCCCGATTCCAGCAGAAACGTGGCAACACCAGAGCTATCTGGTCTACCCGACACCCCCGGCTCCGCCGCCCTGCGACTCCCCCCGAACTCTGGCTGCGTTCCCGGTGCCCCTGGACCTGCTGGACTCGCCCGAGGCTCCCTCCCCCCCGGGATCCCGCGGGGGTCCGCTGCGTCTCCACGGTGTGGTGTCCACCTGCATGACTGCCCCTCCTCCCACGGATGGCGCTGGCCGAGGCTGGCATCAGGATGACCACGGATGCCCCTCCCAGGCCACAGGGACTCGGGGCTTCTGCGTGCTATGTCCCGATGGCCAGGGGCCGCTGCGGTGGGGGAACGCACTGTCTCGCTCACCTCTACGACAGGGGAATTGTGTTTCTGCTGCATTCAGAGCAGGGAGGGGTATGTGCCCAGTTGTACATAAACGCACCGCATTAACACGGTTTTCTGAGGACCCCCCAGGGCTGTGAGAGGTGACCAGGCAGTTCTGGTGGAAAATATGTTCCTGGTCGACCCCGGACCTCCTGCTGGGCACACGGAGGGGGCAGGATGGGGCCTTTCCCGCCCCCGCCCCCACGTGAGTGTGGGCGCAGCCATCGGACACGGGACTCTCCTCGCCCCTCAGGTTTCGGACGCGGGGGCACTGCACTCTCTCATCCTTCCACTGCCCCCGACGGACGGGGGTTCGGGCGTGAGAGTCTTCACCGACTTTGGACTCACAGACTCGTGACTCCGGTCTCGCCCACGGGGCCGAGATCTGGCCGGGACTCTTTCTGGAAGACGCCTTCTGCGGGAGTTGCACCACTCGCTGGCGTTTCCGCGGGCCCAGCCCCTCTCGTCCGAATGGGACGCGGGCTCACGGACTCCAGGTTTCTCAGTGGACAGCGCGGGGCGTGCATTTTGTTGTGTTCACGTTTTCGTTTGGGTTTGAGCCGTGTGCCCCATGCACCCTGACCATGCCTGCTGCCGCCCCCCGGGCTCAGAGAGAGCGACCCCCGCCACCCCCTCCCCAGCACTCGCATCCGAGGCTGTTCAGCGTTCTGCTTGTTGCTCCAATGTCCAGGGTCGAACCAGTCCCGTTGGAAGCCCCAGGAGGGGGGTGCATGCCCTGCACGCCCCGTATGCCCCCGCAAGCCCCGTGGCTCCGCCCACCCGTGCGTCGCGCCCCCGGGACGTCCGCTCGCCGCGCCCGCGCGCCGCGCCCGCCTGCCCCGCGCCAGGCCTTACCCGTGTGGCTCCTCTTGTGGACCATGAGCACATTGGGGCCGATGCACACGATCCCACAGACATCACACTTCAGTTTGCCGTTAGGCAGGCGGATGCCTCCTGCTCCTGGCACGGCTCTGCCGCCGGGGCCACTGTGGGAGCCAGCCACGTCCTCGCCCGCCGCACCGAGCACGCGCAAGTCCTGGGCACACGCGTCCCCATCCACCTCACAGGCACGCCCATTCTCTTCGTCACTCTGAGTCTCTACTTTAACATTACTGGCTGAAAGACACAACACAGCGGCCACTCAGTGTCATCGCAGGGGACAGGGCACAGCAGCACACGGCCCGCGGCAGCCCGGGCTTCTCCGCAGAGCTTCTCCGCGGGGACGCCGGCCCGCCTGCCCCTCCGCAGGTCCCAGCGGCAGGCTCCCGGGCGTCCCCTGTGGACTGGGGCCCTCGCTCTGAGCACGCTCGGGTCCCCGGCTCTGCGGGGACAGCCTTGGGCGCCCGGCAGTCACCGGAGGTGGAGCCTGCACCCCTCCCCCCACCAGGTGAGCCCCTCGCACCAGGATGGACCGCCCCGTCAGCTCCTCCCGGGCTGCGACCTTGTCTGGCAGGGTCCCCTGCGAGTGGCCATCGAGTGTGAGAAACTTCTGTCCCTTCCGTGGGTCACAGAGTGACAAACGTGGGAACCAAGCCCAGCAAATGGGGTGTAGGTAGACTCCTGAGCACAGGTCCCCGGAGGAAGACTTTGCTTGTTTCTTCCATGCACGGTGGCTCCAGCCCCTTTCATTTCATTTCACGGGGGACACGAGAGCTGGGTGCTGGCCCACAGCCATGAGCTCCGCTTTGCTCCAGGGGCCCGTGGCAGTGGCTGTGAACTTGGGAGACGGAGACTAGTTTCTCATGGCAAAGCTGTGCGCGCAGGGGCCACGGGCTGGTGCTGACAAACACAGTAACCACCGTCCGCCCCACACTCGCCTTCCCCTTGCGTCACGTTCAGGGTCAAGGTGCACGTCATTCACGGATGTTTCCCGGCAAAGGAAACAAGAGGGGTTTTGTTTGCGCCCTTCTGAGATGCGTTACCATGGAAACCGTCCCCTGCCTCGGTCCCTACACCTGAGTCAGAGCCGGCCGGCGAACCACGGTGTGGACGTGGCCCCGGACCCCGACGGGCGTTCTCAGTCGGTGGGTCCCCGGGTCCCGATCCCTGGCCCGGCCGCACCCACCTCACCTGAGAACCAGCAAGAACAGCGAGGTCTGCGCCCCCCACCCCAGATGCCCTGAGCCAGCGTCTCTGGGGGGGGGGCTCCGTGTCCCACACTGTCCCGAGCTCTCCCCCCGCCCCAGGGGACTCCGGTGCGTGCTCACCCGCTGTCTGAATCAACTCAGTTAACGGTGCGGTCCCACCCAGCTTTCCCAGCAGCCCTCTGGAGAGGAGGCTCACAGACAAATGAGCGAAGGGAACGAATTAGCAGGGACCTGGGCCACAGCAAATGGACTTTGAGGCCCCGGAGGGAGGGGCTGCTCTCCCCATGAGACCCAGCATCCCACAGGCGTCTCTCCAGGCAGGCGACGCCCTGGATCGGGGTTCCAGACCCCAGAGCCCGAAGGACCCTGCGTCCCCGGCTCCTGCCGACCTCATGCGGCTGCCAGCAGCTCAGCGAGGCAGGAGACGGGGCGGGCAGGGAGGCCGTGTGCCAGGGGCACGGGCGCTCCCCGGGGTCCCTGCCCCCTGGCGCGTGCCATGCACCTTTCCCCGGGGCCTCCCTGCCCGCCAGCGTCCGCCCCGGGAGTGTGACCTCACAGCTCAGAGACCTGTGAGCCCCTGGACCTGGAGCCGCGTCCCGTCGTCCCCTTGGGGTCTGCGAACGGAGGTCAGAGCACAGGGCAGCAAGTGAGCCGCGGGTGCGGCCTGTCCCCCAAGGCGGAGCTGACGCCCCGGCTGCAGTGTGAGCGGGGAGCCCAGGGCCCTAAGGGGGAGGCAGCGGAGGCCCCCGGACAGACAGCTGCGGGGCACCCCTCCCGTGTCCACCCGGCCCTGTTTCGTGCTTTTAGAGGCCCCCCCCCCCCCGCGGAAAGTGCCGACTCTTGTTCCCCAAAGGCACCTGTCAGCAGAGGGCTCATAGCGCCCACTTGCTCTGGGCCCTCAAGAACGACAGGTGTGTCTGTGACCCCGAGGTGTGCCCGGGGCTGTGCTGTCGGTGACAGCGTGAGGCTAGCAGAGCAGAGGGTGACGCTTGGGTTTCTGACGCCAGAGGCGTGCGTTCCCAGAGGGAGGCTGCAGAGGAGCAGGCGGCACTGTGTCAGGGTGGGGACAAGGACAGCGTGGAGGAAGGCCAGCCTGCATGTCACCTTCCGACCACAGGAGGCCCCCAGCCGGGAGGCCAGAGGCTCAGGAAGGAGGGACTGTCTCACGACCACGCCGTGGGGCAGGGGTCTGAGAGCTGACCCGGAGCCCCTGGGGTCAGCAGCAGGTTTGCAGGCATGGGGGCCAGCCACCCCGGGAGCATCGGGGACCGCCAGGCACGGTGTCAGCGGGGTCTGCCCTGAGCCCGAGGAGGCACAGCCCGAGGAACAGAGTTCAGGACCCCGTCCTGAGCTCTAGGTCCCTGGGAAAATGCAGGCGAACCCTGATCTCCATGGCGAAGACCAGGAGCCACGGATGAGGGACCTGGACGGGGCAGAGGGCAAACCCCACATGCATTTCGCAGCCGGAGTCTGAGCGTGTGAGAGCCACCAGCTGCTCTCGCCCTGGGGACCAATTCCAGGCCTTTTTACACCAGAAAAGGGCTGTGGGGACCCAGAGACGGAGGGGCTGGCTGCCGAGACCAGGGGCGTCGGTGACAGCAAAGTGGCCGCACCGTCGGCCGAGGGTGTCCCATTCAAGGGCAGGCAAATGCTCCCTGAAATGGGGAAGGTCTCCTCTTGTGTGGACCTGTGTGGACCCGTGTGGACTGGCACCGGCTGCCAGAGGACGGGGCCGCCGTGGAAACGGCCTCCCGCCCAGCTGGGAGGGGAGCATGGGCCGCGCGCTCGTCATGTTTGCAGGCGGCAGGAACCAGGGACCACACTTCATGGGCGTCTGGAACCCCACTCCCCACCTGGCGGACACCTGGCGGCCTCCGTGAGGCGCCGCGTTGGGCTGACAGCACGGAGCACCAGCCGGGACCTGTTCCGCCCTCACCCCGACCCGGCCCCGCCTGGCCCCGCCTGGGGCCCCATTCCATCACCGAGCGGCCCGCCTGGCCTCCCTCGAGAGAGGGGGGGTGTCTTCAACCCTGAGCCAACACCTGCTCTGCCTCCTGGGGGCTGTTTGAGTTTAGGAAAAGCTGAAGGCTTTCTGTTACTCTGTCTATGTTGTTAGCCGCACTGCAGTGCTAAGAGCGGCCCCGGGCCCCTGAGTAGTGGGAGGGGGACTTCAGCTGGGACAGAAGCCACTGTCACTCACAGGTCTGGAGAATCCCGGGGCCTGGGGGTCGGCGGGGCCGAGGCCAGACCGGTCTGCTGCCCGGCGCTGTGCACTGTCCCAAACGGCCCCAAGAATCTCCAGGCAGTGCCCCCCCCGCCCCCAGAAATGGGTCACGCTGCCTCTTTGTGCCCCTCTCCGGGGGCATGTGTCTTTATATTCGATGGCCGGGCGAACAGCCGGCGTTCAGGCCACAATTTTCTATCGAGACACTATTCCGGAATCGTCCCCGTAATGGGAGTTTGGGCCACGGGAGCTTGAAATGCCCACTATGTTAAATGAGAACCCGGGAGACAGAAATAGTCCTGTAACCGCCGCGACCAGGCCGTTAAAGTCAAATGGAATGAAAATGTTTATGGTTGGTCTGGAAGGAGGGTCATTATGCGACGATTCGGGGTGAGGAGAGACGCAGGTGTTTTCACGCTGCCTCTGAGAGGGGTTTGTCACATTCTTTAAACGCTTTGAAGGCCAGTAAAACCAGGTATGAGAACCAACACCGTTTTGAATGTAATTTTTTCCCCCTTTTTCTTGTCAAGATGAGAGATGAGGAGTATTTTAATTCTAGGCCTTTAGATGGGATGAAGGGAGAGAGGAAAGAGGAAGTGTATGAGAAGGGAACACGTCACAAGCAGGTTTACGCGTCCCCAGGGAACTAGGGGCCCGCCCTGGGACAGAGGAGGGGACCCAGGGACAAACAGGTCGTGTGTTTAATGCGGAAGAGAAAGAGGTGGTGAGGGCGATTCTCCACCCCGGCCACTAGGTGGCGATGTTGGCCCAGAACAGTTTGGTTGCTGTTTGGGGGGGGTGGGGGGGGGAGCCGCCCCAGTCAACAGCCTCTGTGCCCTGTGACCTTCACAGTCTGGGTCCACGGGGGAGGGGAGGGAGAGGGAGAGCACGGACACCTGTGCGGGGACACACGCAGCACCTGCCTCCCAGAAGCACCAGTGTCCCTGGCTCTGTTTCGGGGCGGGCACTTCCCACGCGCCGGCACGTGCACCGGCACCGCCCCCCGCCCGAGCCTCCGCGCGCAGGAGCCTCCCCGCACCCGCGTCCGAGGCGGGACTGCCTGACCCCGAAGGGCCCTGACTCCGGACGTGCCCGCGGTGGGACGGCCCGTCTATCTCCGAGGCCCCACCAGTCCTGCGCCCTAGGGCCCTAGCGCTTCACGGTGTGCGTGAGCGCACACACACGTGCGCACACACCGACACTTACACGCCTGCCCCACGGGCGTGAGGAGCAAGCTAGCGTTCAGAGGTTGGACCGAAGGAAGCTGGGCAGGAGCAGGGGCAGGGTCTCTCCGGGGACCTTTCCCGCCGGGGAGGAGCCCACAGAGGCTGTGAGCAGGGGGCCTCCCCGGGGCTGACGCAGACAAAGCCCGCGGGCACCGGGGCGCTGCGGCCGGCCGGGGCGTCGGAGCGTCGGAGCCTGTGCCCGGCAGCTTCTGTATCCGAGAAGCCTTTGTTATACTCGCTGGGGCGTTAACAGGCACGCCCTGGTTCCCGGTGTTGCACACCCGGGGGTCTGACTGGCGCGGGCTCTGAAGACCTAAGTCCTCAGGGGGCAACCGACTCGCATCACTCTGAGTCTCTCGCCGTCTGCGCGTCGTCAAAACAGCACCCTCCCCTGCCTTAAAGTACACCTTCAAGGGTGTGGCTCAGAGCCGCGCACCGTCTGCCGGCTGCCCACGCCTGAGGAAGAACGACGGAACGAGCCTCTGCCTCCGGGTTCCCAGCACGGAGCGCCCGCCGCTCAGCCCGCGGGTCCCCGGGCCTTCTCTCGGCTCCTAAACGAACAGTGGCTCTCTCCCGCCG